TTTGTATATTATTTGTTCTAACAGCTTTTTTTATGGAATCCATTGAATTTTTTACATAAACTATTATGTTGTGTGCAAATAAAAGTTTTTATTTCTTCCTTCCAAACAAGATGAATTTTTTCCCCTTTGCCTTATTGCCCTGGCTAGAACCTCTAGTACAATGTTGAATAGAGGCAATACAAGCAAACATTCTTGTATTGTTTCTCATCTTTGGAGAAAGTAATTCAATTTTTCATCATTAAATATGTTGTTAGCTGTAGGCTTTTTGAAAATGTCTATTATTAGGGTGTAGAAGCTCATTTTTATTCCTAGTTCACTGAGAATTTTAATCAGTATGGATTTTGTCACAGGCCTTTTTCTGTGTTTGCTCAGATAATTATATATTTTTTTTAAATCTCTTTATATGGTGAAGTACGTTGATTTTTGAATGCTAAACAAGCCTGGCATTCCTGGAATAAACCCCACTTGGTCAAGATATATTATCCTTTTTACACATTTTTTTCATTTGATTTGCTAAATTTTTGTTAATCTTTGTATCTATACTTAGAGCAATATTCATTTGTATATTTTTCCCTTTTAATGACTTTATTTGGTTTTGGTATCAGGTAATGCTAGCATTGTAGAATTTTTTGGGAATTATTCCATCTTCTTCGATTTTTTTGAATAATTTTTATAGAATTGGGTTTTTTTTCTTCCTTAAATATTTGGTAGAATTTACTAATGGGGACATCTGAGCCTAGAATATATCTGTCAGAAAGTTTTAAATTACAATTTCAATTTACTAGATGTAGGACTATTCAAGTTATTCACTTGTTCTTTAGTCAACTTTGCTATTTAAGCTGTAAAATTCATTGGCATAAAGTCATTCCTAATATTCTCTCATTTTTTTTTTTTTTTTAATATTGGTAGCATTTGTAATGATTTACCTCTCGTTCCGGGTGTGGTAATTTGTGTTCTCTCTCTCCCCCATTCCCTCTCCCCCTCCATCTCCCTCTCCTTCCTGATCTGCCTGGCTAGAGGATTATCAATTTTATTGTCTCAAAGAACTATCTTTGGATTTTCACTGGTTTTATCTATTATTTTTCTGTTATCTCTCTGACCGGTTTCCCTACTCTGATATTTATTATTTTCTTTTTGCAGTTTACTTTGGGTCTCATTTGTCCTTTTTTTCTAGTACCTTATGATGTAAAACTGGTATCACTAATGCAACGATCTTTCTTCTTTTCTAATGCAGCATTTTAGTGCTATGGATTTTTCCCCCTAAATAATGCTTTTGTTATATCCTACAAAGTTTGACGTGCCACATTTTCATTTAGCTGGAAATAATTTTTAATTTCCCTTTTAATTTCTTACTGACCCATGGGTATGTAGATATATAATATTTAGTTTCCAAATATCTGGGATTGTCCCAGATTGTAATTGGTTTCTAATTTAATTCAATTAAGGTCAGAGAATAAAGTTTGTATGACATAAATCATTTTAAATTTATTGGGATTTGTTTCGTGGCCCAAAGAATCTATCTTCATAAATTAACTCTTAATGGATCATAGACACAAATGAGAAACCTAAAATTATAAGACTTCTAGAATAAAACATAGGAGATGTCTTGGCAATCTTGACTTAGACAAATATTTCTTAGATACAATGTTAAAAGCTTGATTTATGAAAGAAAAATTAGTAAATTGAATGTTATCAACATTAAGAACTTCTCTTCAAAAGACACAAAGAATGAAAAGTCAAGTCACGGTCTGAGCAAAAATATTTGCAAACAGCATATCTGACAAAGGACTTGTGAAGAAATATGTGAAGAAATCCCCAAAATTCAATAATAAGAAATAAAACAACCCAATAAAGATGGGCAAAATATTTGAACAGACACTTTATCAAATAGAATGTACAGATAGATGACAAATAAACACATGAAAAGATGCTTGACAACCTTAACCATTGGGGAAATGCAAATTAAAACTACCTAGAAAGACTACTATGCAACTACGAGAATTTCTAAAATAAAAAACACTCACCATACCAAGTGCTGGAGAGGATATGGAGAAACTATAATTCTCTTTCACTGTTGGTGAACGTGAAATGGTACACCATTTTGGAAAAGAATCCGGCAGTGTCTTAAAAAATTAAATATACATCAACCATGTGACCCAACTATTCCACTCCTAGGTATTTGTCTGAAACAAATGAAAGGTTATGTCCATACAAAGCTGTGTACATAAATAGTTATATCAGCTTTATTTGTAAAAGCCTCAAACTGGATAATCCAAAGTCCATCAGCTGATGATGGATAAACAAATTGTGATATATCCATTCAATGGATATACTACTCAACAATAAAGAGGAGTGAACTACCAGTGCACACACACAAAATAGATGAATCTCAAAATAATTAAGAAAGCCAACCCCCTCCCCCAAATATAGTGCATACAATATGATTCTACTTATATAAAATTCTAGAAAATGCAAACAAATCTTTGACAGAAGGCAGATCAGTGGTTTCTCAGGGGTGGAAGGGTAGGGAGAGGAAGGAAGAAGTGATTACAAAGGAGCACAAGGAAGCTTTTAGGGGTGATAGATTTGTCATTTTAATTATGATGATTTCACGGGTGAATAGATGTCAAAAACATCAAACTGAACACTTGAAGTATGTGCAGCTTGTTGTGTGTCAATTATATGTCAATAAAGATGTTAAAAATTCTTACAGGCGCTACAACTAAAGTTCAATGCTGGCAACATGAATTTAATATTTATTATTTTATAAGTCATCCTTTAGATGTTTCAATTCCAGAGAACATATTAATTAAATTAAAACTTTATTCTCTGAAAAATGGCATTTTTATATGAAAACATTCATTAAAATTGGTTTTCTGACATGAAATAAAAGACCCAAAATATTAAAAAATTATAAATTTGTTTTCATCACTAATATTCACATAATATATCTAAAATTATAACCAGTTAAAAAATGAACCATTAAATGAATTATTTCAACTTAGAACAATTCTTTCATTTCCTACCTACTTTATTCTGAATTGAAGCCTAAACCTTTATTTAATCTAAACTAAGATACATGCATTTTATTTCATCTTGAAATACTCTTCAAATAGTGACGTTTTAATTAATCAAATATTAATATTAATTTTTAATAAAAATACACGTGCACTTTAAAAGCCAAGAAGTCAAAAAAATACGAAAAAATGCAAAGCAAATCTAATTTGCTGCCTTCAGAAAACAACTTTTGCTTTTGCTTTACTGAAATGATATTGTCTGAGAACACCTTTTATGCATCCACTCAGCTGGCTCTGCTTTGACATCACACTAAAATGTTGGTGTACCTAGGGCTGCATTCTTTACCGACTATTCAATTCTTTCCTGAACTCCAGATGTGTGTATCTAGTCACTTAAATGTGAAATAAAACTAGATATTCCATGAACCTAAACTAGATTTGTTAAACGTTACAGGCAGGACTTCTTATTCAAGATGATTATTCCCACATTTGGTATTTCCAGACCAGACTTCTCTGACCTCAGGTTGAAATATTCCATTTCATACCTATTATTAACAATTGATATCTCATATATACCTCAAATATAACTTGTTCCAGCCTGAACCCAATTCCCCACCCTCATAGCTCCTCACATAGTAAAGTGTATTATTGCTCAAACGAGTTGCCTATAATCTCAGTAAAGTATACTATTGCTCAAACGAGTTGCCTATAAATCCTTAGCAGATAGCAAGAAGTTCCAAAGAAAGATTATAGGTAATTACTATGTTCTTTTATGATGTCTTTTAAACATAATGAACAAATTTATAATGACATCATATTAGTTCTTTGACAAAGACATTCATTCAACATCTTTAACCATTTAAAATCAATTCAATTTTCCCAATTTCTGAGGCAATTCACAACCCCCATATCGCTTTATTTTTAGTAGTTAGAACACAGATTGAACCTACAGTTGTACCAGATGAGAAAACTCTCAACGTATAAACAAGTCTTGAAAACCTTAGTCTTTTTTTTTTAAGATTTTATTTATTTATTTGACAGAGAGAGAGACAGCGAGAGAAGAAACACAAGCAGGGGGAGGGGGAGAGGGAGAATCAGGCTTCCCACCCAGCAGGGAGTCCCATGTGGGGCTCAATCCCAGGACCCCGGGATCATGACCTGAGCCGAAGGCAGCTGCTTCATGACTGAGCCACCCAGGCGCCCTTGAAAACCTTAGTCTTAAAAGAAGGTGTTTTCTTAGGAGCCAATATCACTTGTTAGTGAAATAAACATGTAAGTTGTTGGTTCATTCCTGGCGGAGTACACAGAGGACAAGGAGAAACCAAAGAAAGAGTGGCCACTCCAAATTGGGAGGTGGTGGTTTTAGTAAGTAAGGGAACTTACTTACAAGGCTTGTCTTCAGCAGCCGCTAGATGAGTAATCTCTGCACTGGCGGACAGAATCTTAAAAGGTTATATAGAGGCCTTAATGGGGTTTAGTCACATATCCCATCCAGATAGCTCAACAACAGACTCTCTCAAGGCTGCATCCTTGAAAATTGATCCCATGGTGGTAATGGTGGGCAGAACATATATGCAAGGATGGGGGTGGGGTTGGGGAGCTTCCCATTGCCCAGGATCCAGCCCCGAGGTTGGCTGACAGTCAGGTCCTCTGGATGACCTTCTCTAACATAATTATATACATATATATACAAATCTTAGAAGCCTGTGATTACAATATGAAGTTACACTTTAAAAAATAACCCAAATTATTATGGGACAAGCCGTCGGTTAGTACTTGGATGGGAGACCCGTTCACTAAATTCAGTTCCCATTCAGGGTGATGCAGATGTTCCTGAAGTCCCTGAGGGTGGTGATATTCCATGCGCTTCTGAACTCAGTCTTCAGATTCTTCCACTCTGACTGGGTCTTGCCACCAGGCTCAGTCATTTATGACTCTTCCACTCTTCAGATCTAAGGTGAGAAAGGACCCTGCCCTCCTCACCTCTAAACAAGTGCTCTTGGCTCGTGTTTGTGGAGATGGGACTCAGAGGTGCTTGTGGGAGGCTGAAGGGGCTCCAGAGGAAACAGACTCCCACTCTCACTGTTGCCATCAACACAGAACCTTTGTGAGGTCAGGATGAGCTCTCCAGACTTAAGCCCAGATCATTCAGCATATTTGTAGGCTTCTCTGTGTCTCTAAGTTTAGAAACAACTCTTAGATCTAAGAGGAAGGAGAAAGTCCAAAAAGTCACCTTAGTTCTTGGGCAGTGAAACACTATTCATTTTGGTGAACAATAGAAACATTGGCTCCTTTCAAAAGAAAATTCCACCCTTACCCATCAGGGTATGTTTTTAATGCTGTCGGGAAATGCCTAACAGCTGAGGGATGTCACCCACTTACATTTCTTGGAGCAGATAATCGTGGAGGGAGAGCTATCTGAGTGACATACTTCCAGGTCCCGCAGAGCCCTACCCTAACTACCCCAGGAAATTCTACAATCACTAATTACCCCACATAATGTAACCCACCGCCCACTTGGCAGTCCCATCCTCCTTACCCTGCTCCACTTTTACTTTGTTCCATAGCACTTTATATCATTAAGTGTTCATGATCACAATGAGAAAAATGTAATATCCCAAATTTACAAGTAAGCCAAGATTAGTAAGCTTAGAATGTGCACTCATTGCAGAATTCCCTGGGGTTTCATCCTTAGACTTTATCTCCTTAATTCCATTGTCACAGATAATGCTGTTCATAATGATAATTATGATGATGGTACCATAACAACATTATTGAGCTTTTATTATGTGCCAAACACTGTACCAAGTACTTTACCTGCATTATTTCATTTAATACCCACAAACTTTTTGTGATTAGTGTTATAATTACTGCCATTTTTATTGTAATTACTGCCATTTTTATTGTAATTACTGCCATTTTTATGGGTGAGGATAACTGAAGGTTAGAGAGGGAACACACAGCTTGTTAAGTGGCAGAAACAGAAATTGTGACTTGGTCTGACTGCAAAGCCCTATCTCTGTCTGCCAGACTGATTTTCGGGGCAAAAAAAAAATTCATTGATTCATTCCTTTGCTTAAAAGTTTTCATTGCCTCTCCAGTGCCTCTGAGGGATGCCAGGAGCTAGCTTAGCTGCTTGCCTGACCTTATTCCTGTCCTCACTCCTCTAGAACCCCACCTTTGAGCTGTACTGGACCACCTCACATCTGAATGCCCCAGGTTCCTTGTCTTTCCTCTTCCATTCCTGCTATTCCTGCTACCCCCTCGCTCCTTTTTTTGCCTAACTTATTCTTGTCCTCAGGGACTCAGTTCAGATGCCCCCTCTACCAGGGATATCTCTCTCACTTTTCAAGTCTGGGTCAAATGTCTCTTCTCAGATTTTCCCATGGCAACCTGGTCTTCTCATTAAATGCTAATCCACTGTACTGTACTTGTAGGTTACCCCAGACCAAGTGTTGGGAGGCTTTTTTGGTAAAGGGCCAGGTAGTATATGTCTGAGGTTTTTTGAGCCTTGTGGCCAATGTCACAACTACTCAACTGTGCCGCTGTAGAGCAGAAGCTACCACAGAGAGTATGATAATGAAAAGCATGGCTGTGTTCCAATAAAACTTTATTTATGGACATTGAAATTTGAATTTCATAGAATATTTGTGTCATGAAATATTATTCTTCTTTTAATTTTCAAACATCTAAAAATATAGAAACCATTCTTAGCTTGCAGGCTGTACAAAAACAAGCAGGTGGGCCAGATTTTGCAGTTTGCCCATCCCTGTACTATTCCATGAACTCTTAATAGCCAGAGAAGTGTCTCATCCAACTTTATGTCCACAGTGCCTAGTACAGCACCCAGCTTATAGTGAGTGCTTAATAAATACCTGTTAAATAAATAAAATTCACATAGCTAGTAGTGAGTGATAGTGTCAGGATTCAAAACTGAGTCAATTTGACCTGGTGTGTGACGTCACACTGCCCAATCTGTGGCCAAAACCATAAGTGATGTACTATAGTCAGAGCAAAATATTCAAGATATTAAAAAAAAAAAAGTAATTCTAGCTAGGAGGAAATGCTGGATCATATGGTAACTCTATATTTAACTTCTAAAAATTTCTTCTGGAATCAGCTTTGATAAGTTACATTCTCACCAGAGATTTCAATTTCAATTATTTTGTTGTTGTCTTTTTTGGGGGGTGATATTGCCTATTTTATTTTAAAAATAAAATCTCATACAGAGTGGCAACATTGCCTAATTGCTAAGAGCATAGCCTTTGGAGCCAGACTATTGTTTTTGTTGTTGTTGTTGTTGTTGTTGTTGTTTGATACTATATTGTTTATTTGAAGTTCCCAAGAAAAATAAAAACATCTATTTAAAAAAAATTTGTATATGAATGTTCATGGCAACAGTATTCATAACAGCCTAAAAGGGGAAGCAAACTAACTGCCCATCAACTGATGAATGGATAATGAAATCCATATCCATACAGTGGAATGTTATTTGGCAATAAGAAGTACTGGTACATACTACATCATGGGTGAACCTTGAAAACATCATGCTAAGTGAAAGGATAATCACAAAGGATTACATATTGTATGATTCCATTTATATGAAGTGTCCAGAATACAAAATCTATACAGATAAAAAGTAGACCAGTGCTTGCCTAGGGCTGTGGAATGGGAGAGTATGGGAGAAAGGGGAGTGACTACTAATGGGCAGAATTTATTGGGGAGTGAGGGAAATATTCTAAAATTTATTGTGATGATGGCTACACAACTCTGTATACATACTAAAAACCACTGGACCGTATACTTTAAATGGATGAATTGTTAATTATATCTCAATAAAGCTGTTATTAAAAAAAGAGAAAAAAGTAATTCCAGAAACACCTTGTTGTAGGGCCTTCTTGAACACTTGAACTGTATTGTTACTGTTACTGGTTGCTACTCAACCTAGTGTACCATGTACCCTTTTCTCCACCACCATTTAATTTGGCCTTATTTACTGTGCTTTCAGATATTTAACATAGTCCAAGTCTTGACTATTTCAACTTTTTAAATATAAACCCTCTTTGAACTGTAGCTTTTGAACCAAACTTAAGTTACATAAATGCTTAGAGGGGTTCCTTTGTGGCTTAGTTGGTTTGGTGTCCAATTCTTGGTTTTGGCTCAGGTCTTGATCTCAGGGTCATCGGATAGAGCCCAGCGTCGGGCTTCATGCTCAGTGGGAGTCTCCTTGAGATTCTCTCTTTCTCCCCTTTCCTCTGCCCCCCAACCATGCTCTCTCTCTCTCAAATAAATGAATCTTTAAAAAAATTAAAAAATAAATGCTTAGAGCATCATAGTTCTCTTCTTCCAAAGCATACATATCAGAAAGAACCCTGAGTATTGTCTGGAAGTTCATTCTCATTCTATATAGTCTTGTGCAGTTGATTCTCTTCTTTCTTTTACCTTCAAAGTTAGAATAGAGGGATGTCTGGCTGGCTCAGTCAGTGGAGCATGCAACTCCTAATCTTAGGGTTGTGAGTTTGAGCTCCACATCGGGCATAGGGATTACTTAAAAAAATAAAAAATAATAAAAATAAAGTTAGAACAGAAAGACCCTGAAGAACACAGAACCCCAGCACATGGACATTCCCTGCGACCTCACCTTTCAATTAGGATATAGTTACCAGGGTGACCATGTTAATTATACATGGAACATCAGAGGATGACATCAGGAGGCAGTGGGGTAGGTCGGACCAAGGAAGACTGGGAATCCAGCCTAACCTTCCTATCTGGTGAAGTTCAGCAATCCTACCACAAGAATAAGGTCAGAAATTAGTCACTAAAGGGGTGGTTACTTAAGGTCACAAGAAGGGAAGCAGGACAAACTAGAAGTCTATTTCATAAGAAACAGAAATTTGTGATTACTAACTCCAAACATTGGTGGAGCTGTATGGTCTATTAATATTGTATTTATTTGAAAGCTTAAATATAAGGCAGATATAGGCGAGAAAGGCAAAACCATTTAATAGAGTAATATTAAGAGGAAGAAGAATGAGGTAAAAAATGCTTTGAAATTAAAAACAGAAGGCATGTCTTCCAACTAAAAGACTAGTAAGTTATTTTCATTTTTTGAAATTTGGCTTTTTAATCTGTAAAATTGAATTCAGTCCTCACTGAATATTGAGTTATCCATATTTCTAATCCCTTCCAACTTCAAATATTTAGGAATTCAACACTGTCTTAGAACTAAAATCACAAATTGTCCTGGTCCCCCTGAACAGAGGTAAGAATTTACAAACTCAAACTTAGTGGTTTTATAGAGACAACAAGCCAACTAACTCATTACATAATGTTCCTATCTTCAAGTGACTACTCTCTCCTACATTGTGACATAACTGTGATATGACAACTTTTTTTTTATTGCTCTTACAAGCTGTGCTGCTTCTACACAGACCAAAGCTTCCTAAACTCCATCAAACATTTTCATTATATTGAGAACACAAGAAACAAATTTAAAAATAAATTTTTCATTGTGGATTCTCAAATCTGACCAGGGTTGAAGCTGGATGTAGGCAGGGTGTCACACCTTAAAATTGTCAAAAAGGAGAAGGAGGAAAGGGACCATTAGTGTCTTCACCATGCTGGAATAACTTAAAATGCCTGCAAAACTAATGTAGAATTTCAGCAGTAGCATCATCCCCGTGCAAGATTTTGCCCAGGGATTTTGTCAGTAAAGGGATTTGTCAAGTATTTTTATCTTCTTGTACCCCAGAAGAAAGTATATATATATATGTATGTATGTATTTTTAAAGATTTTATTTTTTTTATTTGACAGAGAGACAGCGAGAGAGGGCACACAAGCAGGGAGGGGTGGGAGAGGGAGAAGCAGGCTTCCCGCTGAGCAGGGAGCCTGGTGGGGAACTCGATTCCAGGACCCTGGGACCATGACCTGAGCGGAAGGCAGATGCTTAACTGACTGAGCCACCCAGGAGGCTCAGAAGAAAGTATATTTTGAAAACAAAACACTGATCTGGTTTGCTTTTGTAAGTTTGAGCAAAAGTGGTAGCGATATTAAACCTAGGGTTGGTTGAAGGCCTTTCTATCCAGGCATGGGGCATTGTGAGAAACAAGCCAGATGGTCCTAGTTTTTAAGGCGAGATAGAGAAGTCAAGTTCCAGGTGTTACATATGTTGCCTTTCTCAGCTGTTTTTCAC